ACGAACAAGTAGGTCAGCCTTAATAATTAATTAGGCTCAGTCGTGACGAGCAGTTAAATCATTTGATCGTCGTACGAGCATTTCATTCCTGCAGTTAATTATGCAATAAACACATCCAGAATGGAAATCTCGTTTGAACACGTTTCGGCCCCGTCGTTGGAACGGATAGCGCGCAACATTCCCATAGAATCGAGTCGATTGTCACGAAGGTACACACGCATACACACACACATATACACACATACATATATCGTGTCTCTAGCGACCTGCAAAATAGCCGGCAAACTCTATACAGCATAACCTAATATTTACCGGCAATTTTCTGTCGCCGACTTGTAAAAGGCAACGATCGTACACCACCGACGCGCAGCAGGGAACGACTCTCCTCGCTGCCTTTTACGGAATCATACGCAATCATCTAAAAACGGAGCGATCATCAAACCTGGACGGTAACATCGTAACGAGAATTTTATTCAGATACCGGACAGCGCATCGGCCTAACACGACGCCGGAATGCGCCCGTCGATGCTCCTTCTTGCAATCTATTTGGGGCAAGTCGATGCACAGCGTATCCTGCGGCTGCGTTTCCTTTGACAGGCTTTTCTATTAGTCGTTGATCGGACTAGGCTCTGCGAACCAACTTCGGCACGGTTCTAGTTATAAATAACGTTACGGTTCCGCGCAATTAGTGATTTTAATCAGCGTTCGACATTGTTCGAATTGTTTCCACAGAGATCGTTTTATCCGAACGAATTCTTCTTGGTCGATCAGTTCGATTACGATTATTTATTGTTCACCGTAAAATTCTGCGAACTATTCTTTAATCATTGCTCGCATTATTATGTGAATAATTCTTTAATAATTATCCATATTATTATTAGAATAATTCTTTAATAATTATCCATATTATTATTCGAATAATTTTTTCATAATTATCCGCATTTTTATTCGAATAATTCTTTAATAATTATCCGCATTATTATTCGAATAATTCTTTAATAATTATCCGCATTATTATACGAATAATTCTTGAATAATTATCCATATTATTATTAGAATAATTCATTAATAATTATCCGCACTATTATTAGAATAATTCTTTCATAATTATCCATATTATTATAGAATAATTATAGAATAATTCTTTCATAATTATCCATATTATTATAGAATAATTATAGAATAATTCTTTCATAATTATCCGCATTATTATAGAATAATTATAGAATAATTCTTTAATAATTATTCGCATTATTATTCGAATAATTCTTTAATAATTATCCGCATTATTATACGAATAATTCTTAAATAACGATCCACATTATTAATCGAATAATTTTATAATCTCCGTTCGAATAACTTATTCATAACATAATCTGCAATCGGATTATCGTTCGAATAAATTGCCCGCATAATTCTTTACGTTATAAATAAATTATTGGAACAGCGATCGCGGAATTATTCGGATAACAATGCATACAATCGTTGCTATTGGTAAAAATCGAGTAGCCATTTTTACTTATGCAATTTCGCGCGACAAGTTCTCTCGGTCGGACACGTTCCAATAATTACGAGTACAAGCGGCGCCGCGCGACAAGGTATCATTTGAGTAATTACTATTTCGTGAGACACGTTTCATTGCTATTATCGGATCTGATTATGTATGTACATAACTGTTTTCGCTTTCGAAAGCGTTACTTCCGTGGTGTGATTTAACACGTAAACGAAGGAACGATTGCATTTATAAACTAGCCACTTTGCGTGTCCCCGCGGTTTGTACAACGAATTTCACACCCTAATGCACGCATAAAAAGGAATTAATAAAAAAAAAACACGTGAAAGAAATTAATTTTTAAACGATACGTAATATATCTTAAATTTTTATCTTATTTTAATAAGATGAAACGCGATTTAATATATATAATATAATATAAATAATAATATAGATAATATTTATGAACTGATTTAATATATATAATCGATAATGCAATCGTATTGACATTAAACGTATTTAATTATTTTAATATTCTTTTATTTACGTATTTAAACTCAAAGAATTCACCGTAGAAACTAATTTTCCTAATTCCAGTAACTGCGAGAGAAAGAAACCCGTAAAACATTGTTCCAGCTAAAATGGTGGTAAAAATCGTTCCGACGCTAGCGATGTGTTAAACGATTAACAAAGAAAACTGCAGGCAGGCGTATCGAGTTCCCCGGCAATTCTTATTCGCACCGGAACTTTTGTCGAATATCATTTGCATAACGCAGCAGGCGACCACAGATTCGTAATACGAGTCACTTTCTAGCTGTCGTATTTTATAAAATCGAAATATTTAATCTCGCGAGAGGCGTAACAATATTTTCCGACCTCGACGCGAACGCGAGCACGCGAGAAGCTCGGAGAAAGAATTTCCGAAACGCATGGAACAATCTTGCTTCTTGTTCTCGCTCGGTCTATTTCAAATCGGCGCGGTGCGACGTCGAGTCGAGTCGTGCCGAGCCGAGCCGTGCCGAGTCGCGGCGTCGAGTCGAGCCGAGCCGTGCCGAGCCGAGTCGCGGCGAGCCGAGCCGCGCCGAGCCGGACCGAGTCGAGTCGGAACGCAAGCGAACATCGGGACACGACACGATCGCGGCCAGCCGACCGTTTGTTTATCGAACGACGCCAAAATATCGCGCGCAGAGAAGGATCGATTATGTCTGCGAAGGTTTTGGCGATCGTTAATTTCCGCGTTTCTGATCCTGAAAATAGAAACGCGCGCTCGCAGCCGTGTAAACACGTCGACGGGTTAACGAACGAGTCGGCTCGATCGCGAAATGATCGATGACGCATGGTGGCACGGGTCGCGTGGAAACCCGTAAGAAGCATCGTTTATCGACTATCGACGGCTACCGGATAATTCTGCTAAGCGTTTTAAGCCGCGGTAAGAAGTTGCCGGCGAACCTCGCGCGTGCCGCGAGACGATCGCCTCGTTTGCTAGACCTTCGGTAAGATATTCGCGCGGAAATCCATGCGCAGTTCCTGTTTTTTGCAACGACAATTTTCAATTTGCGTAAAGACCCGTCACAATCTGATAATTATTGAAACGCGCCTTTCCGATGCAAAATCAAAATTGCGCGGACCAATTGCATAAAGTAGGAGAAAAATAAAAGTGCCAATTCTGCCCGGAGTAATTTTAAGAAATTAATAAGACGATGCTGCTGTTTATGTCAGAGCAGTAAATAATAATATATACAACAATATATATATATATATATAATGTTATATAATATATATATTTATATTATGTAATAGATATTCTATGTAAGTTTGTGCAAAATATTTTTGTATATAATATATATACATAGAATATCTATTCGTTCAAAATAGTTGAGTGAAACGAATGAATAAACTTAGTAATAAATTCTGCAAGCTGGAATGAATGTGCTGTTTGCATCAGAGCAGTAATAAAACGATACGTTAATCTGTTCACCGTTCGAAAATACGCCCACTCGCCGTCGTCGCGGATCTTTGCGCGAAATAAACATTATCCTCGTCAATTGCGAGGTTATGTCAAGCAAAAATTTGTCTTCTTCGTTTAATAATTTCACAGAGTTAAATATAATGCATAAGTGCCGTTGAATTCTTTTTAAATATTTCTGTTGTCTTAGGTTATTGTCGTCTTTCTAATTTCAAGTCAGAAATGCATAAAATCCGAAGTCCAATCTTCGTGTGCGTTGTCTTCGAATGCATAAAGTAACCGCAGTGCAGCAATCATCGCCGTTGAAACTCGCAGGTAGCGGCGCGTGCGTAACACGACGAGCCGTGCCGTGACTAGCCGCGAAATCTTCTTACGCACAAACGACATTGGTACTACTTCGATGGTGACATCACACCCCTTTTTGTAGCCGCGAGTTTATTTGCAGCGAATCGTCGCCGCGCCGTTCGAAATCCTTCGTTTACGCGCGATCGCGGCTAAGCGAGCGAATTCGCTTCCCCTCGCCCACGCTCACCCTCTCTCTCTCTCTCTCTCTCTCTCTCTCTGTTCCCCACTGTCCCTCGCTCTCTTTCTTTTTTTTTTCTCTCTCTCTCTCTCTTGCTCTCTCGCCCTCTCTCTCTCTCTCTCTCCCGCTATCTCGTCCTCTCTCTCGCTATCTCGTCCTCTCTCTCACACTCTCTCTCTC